CAGGCATGAAACAGAGCGTACGAGCCATGTAATACAGTTAGCAAGGGGTGTGTATTCACCCATTTCCTCTGTTACCTGATATTCACTGACAGCCGCTGTGTTTCATCCCTAACACAGCGAACCACAGCAGAGCGCATATTCACGGTGCAGATAAAGCGCTTTTGAAGGTCTTTCTCCCTCTCTCTCCCTTGCAACACACCAAGTACCCTATTTCTAACATTAACATTTCTCCATCATTAGCTGGATATAATGGTGTGAGGCTCTGTGTGTGTATGTATCAAAGTCCGCTTTGGATTTGCAAAGTGTGTCTGTGATGGTGGAACCCTTGAATGAGACTGAAAGCACAATAGACAATAGGAAAAACAGATGGACTGGCAGCGTTTGTGAATGCGCGTTTCAATCAAGTCCTGGCATTGTAAACAGACAGGAGACAAATTAAAGGACAAACTACAATACGCTGTCTTAGAGTAAGGTGCCTCCGTGCGCATCCAAAACAGCTTTAATACACCTTGACATTGATTCTTCAGGCCTCTGGGGCTTGTCTGGAGGGCAAAGCATCTGTCTGCTAAATGCAAGGTGGTCTATTCAGTGCCCTATGGATAGGAGCACTGTTATGCTAGAATATATAATTCCCATCAGAATAGAAATGTTTCTATAAAGGTCAAAATGCCCCCCATCAGCATAAAGGACCAAGGATCTCCTCACTGTAGGAATGAAGTTCAGGTTTTTTTCTACCATGCATGTGGCTTATAACATTTAATCCCTCCATAGCCAATTGTTCTGGGAAAACAACTGTTTTTTAATAAAGTAAAACTACATATTCTGATAGCATTGAGTTAGGGTAATCACCAATAATGACACATGACTCAGAGGGGTAAATTATTATATGTCATCCCCGAGAAATGACACTGCAAAACATTTACATAATCTTTACATTTCAGATAGATTTACAGCTTCCTTTAAGCCAGATGCTCTGACCACAAGACAGACAGCTACTTCACCTCACACCATATTAGGAGATTAAGCCCAATGTTTCTGCAAGCTAGTTGGATACTGATACATTTTATATGTACACATATTACGCTCTTGTCTATTAATTCGTTCTTTTTTTCATTAACCATAAAATAAATAAGGTTTAAATGCTGATTATTGCTACACATGTACCTATGAGGGGGTTAGACATAAGGCACATGACTTTTTATAGTAAGTCATGTGCCTTATGTCTCCATAAGAGACATAAGGCACATTGTACAGTCACACCAATCTCTGTTCAATATATGATTCATTTTATGATATATTTAACTTCAACTAGAACAAAATGTATCCAGAAGGTACACATCTTTGTTCAGCTTACAGTATATTTTCTTATTTCAATTTGGAACGATTCGATCCAGGGTGTGAGTTTGAGTAAACGCGCTGATATTCTCCATTCCTGTTTTCAAAAGCAGCCCTGCTCTGTACTTCACCTGAGGTCATCACTGATACAAAAACTACAAAGTACTCCTAGGGAGCCAGAAACAAACGCTCACTGGACTGAAATAACAGGGAAACTCAACACGGCAGGCCTGCTGCTTACTGATACAACCAGGTACACAGGAACAAATACACAATAAATACACAACTAAACACCATATACAAACTACATGCACTTACTTTCACACACATACGCAGACACACAGGCGCACATTTTGTTGTTTCTCTGCTTTGCTTGTACACAGAGACACAAACACTAACAACCACTTAATATTTATCATATTTTGAAGCGGTTCATCCCTCCGCCTGCTGCTGCATTTGATTTTAGTCAAGACCAAAGACTTTGAACTCTGTTTCCTCTCCCAACCTTTGTGCCTGGAACACCGGATTTTAGCATAAATGGTCAAATCAAATGAAATTTACAGACATAACAGAGGTTAAACAAAATGTAACTAATATGAAACAACTACATTTAATGCAAGCAAAAGGTCAAAGACTTTCAGATTTTGAATAAAAACAGAATATTATATATGCAAATCATTTAAACTGCATATCTGATTCAAAATAATCCAACGGCAACATAGAAAATGCTGGATTTGTGACTAAATAAACGCTCATTTTAAATCAACAATGCCAGAAAACACTTTTTTTTAAAAAAAAACTGGGCTGGGCACATGGTAATACGGGAATGAAGCCGTCTTGCATTCGTTGTTTTGCTTCATGATACACATCTTTTAATGATTAAGAAGTCTGGACTGCAGCCAGGCCAGTTTAGCACCTGCACTCGTTCACTGCTGTTGGAACACATTTAGAAACTAGGTTTGGCATTTCCTAAAATATTTTGCCTAGACTGCAGTAAATGTTGCTCCAAAAACTTCAGTGTTAATAAAATCTTCACACATATGAGAATTACCGCACCGAGTCCAGTAACACCCTCCCTGGCGTTTGTGTGCCGATACCTGAATGAGCCATTTCCTCTTTAGCCTAAAGGACTATGCTTTCACAATTTCTAGAAGTATTTTAACATTAGTGCAGTAACAGAGTGAGAAAGATCTGCTCTGACACAACTTTGTGGTTGCTGGTGTCAAATTCGAAATAATAAAATGGGGATAAAATCCAAGCATTGGAGTTCTGTAGTGTGCGAACCACTAATTCGTCTCTATGTCGATTCACAGTTGTTGAAAGAGAAACAAAACCATTTCTACTCATGTGCTGCTTCCAATTAAATATAGGTAATAAACAATATGTAAGTCATTGCATTCTGTTTTTCTTGACATCTACCATCCGAACTTTTTTGGAAGCATGTGTTTCTCTTCCAGAAGAAAGTGGTGTCCCTGCTTTAAAACGTGCTCAGAGTGTAACAAAGCCTGGACTACTTTTTCTGTCATGATGGGCGACTTTCAGGAGATGGTAAAAACCAATAATTCACACAGACTGCACTGTAATGGGCTTTCAAAGAGCTTTCCAGAACACGATGACACCAACTGTCAAGGCCTTTGATAGACACGTGCACTTCCACATGATACCACATCATAATGCGAGACAGACACACACACTGATGGCCTCCTACTTCTTCTTACATATGCAGTGCTTCCAAACACAGCGTTCGGTCTGCTTTCTACCCATGAAAGTGCGCCGTCTTTGAAGGTGGGAAGTCACACCGCATCGTTTTGGCTGTGGCAGCACTAAATCCAACCAGCCACAGAATTGAGGTCAGAGCCAAATTATCCCCCAAAGGTTGTAGGCAGACAGTGGAGAACAGGATGAAGAAGAGTAAGGGAATGGTGCGATGAGGAGAAAGGTGGGGGCTCTCCAACCACACAGAAGGGACACAAGCTTTGAGAACCCAGGCGAGCAGCTGAAACCGGTAAAAGAGGAGGAGTGATAAACTGATGTGGTTGTTAAGGTTGCCTTTTTCCCTCTACAAAGCTTACCATCTTAAAAGGCTCCAATCAGTTTTTACAGTCTGATATAAAAATTTATGAACATTATGCAAGGAAAGACCTCTTTTATGGGGTTTAATGCACAATATATTGAAATATATTTCAGTAGGAGTGCTTCCTATAATCAAATGAATTCGTTTGGGATTTTATTTGGATCGAACCCCCAAGAAACTTTCTCTGAAACAAAAAATACACATTTGTTTAAGAGGCCAAGAACGCACTGCCTGTATTTCTTAACAGCAGCCGATCCACATCATACTGTATCATACTGCACTGACCACAGCACACTTGTCATATGAAAAGGTGACAGACAAACACAGATTTCTGGATTTATAGTAAATATGCACTTTAATTGTTTATGATAAACAGCTGTTATTTGTACAGTTTTTATTGTCTTCTTCATTTTGGTTTAAGAATATTTTGGAGAGAGAAACGTCATGCTTCTGATACTTTTATATGCTTACACTTTTGCTCAGTTCAATTCACACATTTTGAAGATTCATATTGACAGACATGTTTAGAGTTCAGTTTTTCTGGTTTGTTTTTTTGCTTGCGATTCATTTGTTGCACGTTTCTCTGCGATTCTGCTGTGAGGACTTTCAGCATGTTTCTGTAACAGGTTGTGTTGGGTTCTTCTGCGGCTCTGCTGTAACTGATTTTTTGGTTGTTGCTTGGTATTATTTGTGTGTGTGTTTGCAGGATTAATGAAAAAGTTATGGACAGATGTGAACAACAGTTTTATCAGAGGCAAACATTAACAAAGTGAAAGTGGACATTTCAGCTACCAAACAGCTTAGCAGGGACACACAATTCATCATTGCTGAAGCGGGTAAGTGAGAGACAGAGCGACGGTTGAGGTGGCTGACAGTGAGACAAAGACACACATTATATTTACTATCAGCTCACCTTGTTCCCTATGGCTTTCTTGGGTGGGAAGTTGAAGGTGTCCACCTGAGGAAACTGTGATCTCAGATGATTGTGGAGCTCCCTGAATTCGGTGTAACGCCTGTACACATTCCACTCATTGTCCAGGATGCGGATATACACCTGAAGACATGCAGACACATCACCATGGTTGTCATCAGTATCAACACAAAGATAAGTTAGACCAGCATGTCCTGATTTTCAAAAGTTCGATATACAGTATAGGACCTCCATCTATAATTAAATCTAAATTCAGTTACAATACTATAATATGTAACCTAATTTCTGTATTCTTGAAAATGTCAAACACACCAACGACCCGCTGTTATGCAACAGCCATTCTGCAGTTCACATAACGGTCATCAGGCTCTGACGGTGCTTTACAATAACCCTTGTAAATGTGTATTTTCACTTACATATTGCAGCACATAACAGAAAGAGTCTATAGACGTAGCTGTGCAGTCACCATTTCTATGCGCCATTAGCTGCTTTATTCAGACTCACGAAAGATAGAGGGAGCAGAAAGAAAAGGAAAGATGAGCCTATTACAAGAAAGAGGGGGAGTCGGCTTCCATTTTCACAGCAGAAAACGACTGCACAGAGACAAAAGAGAGAGCAGAACAGCTTTTGAAAATTCAATTTTAAAGCGGCCTACCACAAAAAACACAGCTTTGATTCAAGTATATGAAAACACAAACTGATTTAAAAATCCACCAAATGAACTTCAGCATAGCCCCCCACTGCCAAGCAAATCAACAAACGCCCAAACTGTGGTTCAATAATGAACCGCGTCCCTTTCAAACCCACATAATGGAAATCATGCTTTTATGTATAAAAGCTGTGATGGAGTACGTTAAAATTATAATGAACACTGAGCCAACCTTAAAAAAATGGAGAAACCCTGAGTAGAAACATCTACGCTGCAATACTGTGCAAAAGTCTTGAGCCACCTCATATTTTCAAGTATTCTTCATATTTTCCTAGGAAAACTGGAAATGGGTTCAGTTTGTCATTAAAACGTGGAAAAACATACACAGAAGTAACAGCTTATCATGCAAAAACAGAGTTTGAATAATTTGAACAGGATTGAAAGTCAATAATTGGTATGAGCGCCTTTATTCTTCTGCACAGTCTAAAGTCTCTTACACATTTATTTCTTTAACTAGTCTCCAGGAAGAGTTCTCCAGACTTCTTGGAGGACATTCAAAGCTACTAATGATGTTGGCTGCCTTGTGTTCTGTTGTGTTGCGATGACTGTAGAAATGGAAACAAATTGTATTGTTGCAAGATGCTGCTGGTAACAAAAGACTAAAGATATCATTTAAAACTGGTTGTCTGTCACGTCTAGACAACACTGAATTATCCTTTGAGTTAGGTGCTATTTTTATGCTTGTCAAAGGAGCTTGCAAAGAAAAGCGTCTGGACTTCTTTAAGTTACTTGAAGACGTTTCACCTCTCATCCGAGAGGCTTCTTCAGTTCTAAGGTCAAATGGTGGGGAGTCCCAGATATAAACCTGGTGGGAGT